AAATGGGACTTATATTTAAAAGATCTAAATTTGTGTATAATACAGCTGTAAATGGTAGCACCGGCGTAAGCCCAGCCTTTCTTAACATTGGTAGAAAACCAAGACCTTATAACAACTTTAGAAACAAAATAGAAACACACGTAGATTACACACCAAAAAAAGAACCGAATGGCCAGAGAGAATAGAAAAACTAAAAGAGTTACAAGACCTTGTTTCCTTACAAATGGACAACGCGTTTGACAAACAAGAACTCAATTACGACAAAAGACGAAGGCACATGGTATTTAAGGTAGAAAATGCGGTTATGTGTAAAAAACAAGTTACTTCATCAGCCGGTAAAGGAAACACATGCATTCGGAGGCAAAAATCAAGGCCCATTTACAATAGTCAGGGTATTAGGGCAATCTGTTTATGAAATTGCGAAGATTGTTATGTAGGTTCCCAGTCAAACTGTTGATCCACTACAGAGAACCTAGGAAGGTTCTCTATAGAACATCATTATTCTGAGAATGATGTCTCCTAAAACATATTTTTTTAATTTTAATTTTATTTTTTTTACCGTATGTATTGAGAACAAATAGATCATAATATGCTTAATTGGAACTGCTTAATTCTTTTAGATTTTATTTATGCTACTGCTTGCAAATGGAACACTATGGTTTTATTTCTCTAATGGTACCTAAAAATAAAGAAAGAAACTCTTATCTTCATTTACAGAGGAAGAAGAAGAATTACGACGAAAGACAGATAAGAAAAAAGAATTAACCAGGAGAATGGAACAATTATTTCGAGATTTCAGTGAAACCGATTTGGGAGAGAGGCAAAGACCGGTGGACAAAAGACCAATTGGGGATCCAAGGCCAACTGACAACATGACCGAACAAAGGGTCTATCCGAGGCCAGAGCCTATTGAATATTGGACAAGTCAAGGAGATGCACCAAGACAACCTCCAAACAGAAATCTTGAATTCGAAGAAAGGTCACTACCGGAAGATCACATATCAATTGTTCAACCGGATGGTGTGGACAATAGATGCTTCCATTTTCTTTGACTGATCTTACCGGCAAACTATTTCCTGTTCAAAGTGTGGATTCTCGACAATTATTATTTGTTTAAATGATTTATTAAGTATGAACTTAAGTGATAAATTAATGTGTTGTCAATAATTAAATATTCATGTGTATGTCGGAAAATTGAGCTAGATCGGAAAAGTTTGTAATTCATTACGGTCATTGAGGACCTGGGTAATTATTTTACCTGGCGCCGAGGATGTCCCTCTAAACAGGTAACCGCTGGCTGTTTACAAGTCCAATGCGTGGGATTTGTAAATCCGGAATTTTGTGTTAAGAAAATTATGCCATTTTTGTAGCGTCTTCCCACTCAGTGTTAAAGTTGAAAATCACTTTATAATAAATATAACCCATTTTCAAAAAATCAAGAATCGTCACGAAAACAAAGCTTCTTCGGGAGAAGAGGAATTAAAAAGGACACTTCCATATTTTTTGTACTAAAAATATAGGAGAAGAGTGCAGGTTTGGGGTACCCTTTTGTTCATGGCTCATAACTTTTGACCAATAATGAGGCTTGTGAGTATCAATGGCAATCTGTAAGCCTTAAGTAACTGTAAAAAAAGGAACTAAATTGATTCCTTCAACTAAAAAAATTTTATTAAAAATTTAGTGAAATGACAATTTTTAGGGGAAAAATGTTATATCCGGTTGTGGGCACCCTTGAAAAATCTAACAATTTATGTTGTGCTGATATTTTAATTAAATAATGTAAGGTAGTGGCCTGATGTGTATCACGTGTGCGTTGCTTGCTCCACAATATATTATAAATATTCACATTAAAATTATTTTTTAGCAATAAAAGTGACTTAAATGTGTGTTATAAATAAGTGAAATATTAAGGATAATATTCACTATGTTTAAGTTTCGATTTAGTGAATTTATTTAAATTTTTGAGTTTTCCACGTACAGAAATAGTATCATTTCTAAAAACATTGAACTTTTGAAATACAGTGATGCTTTATTTGTTGTTTTGAGCCACATAGACTGTAAAATTTAATTTTGACTTTATAAAAAACAATATTGCCTTATACACTTGTGCAATTTTTTTAGTGCCTTAACCCACAGCACGGTTTCTTGCTGTGAGGTTACTGTAAGGATATATGTAGGGCTTGTGAGGTTACCGTGTAAGCCTATAGTAAACTTGAGGTTGACTTAAATCTTCCGCCTTACAGTAAGCTTTCACAGTAATGCTAAGATAAGCTTACACAGTATGGTCGTGGTAAGTTTACATGGTAAGGTTGTGGTAAGCTTACACGGTAAGGTTGTTGTAAGATTCCTTTAAGGTCACTGTAAGGTTGCTGTAAGGTAACTGTAATATAAAAATATATTAAAAATAATATTATAGGTAATATATATTATTATAAATTTTTTTTATAGAAAATTATATATTTGGTAAAGTACATCATGAACCCCAATAAGGTTTGTTAAATAAAATTTACTGCGCAGCCGTATGTACCATAGAAAACTACTGCGCATGAATATTAATAAAATGTATTTATTAATAACATTCTATGTTTACAGTAACCTTACAGCAACCTTACAGTAACCTTAAAGGAATCTTACAACAACCTTCCCGTGTAAGCTTACCACAACCTTACCATATAAACTTACCACAATTTTACTGTGTAAGCTTACTGTAAGGCGGAAGTTTTAAGTTAACCTCAAGTTTACTGTAGGCTTACACGATAACCTTATAAACCCTATAGATATCCTTTCATGGATGCTATTCAGGTTGCTGTCGCCCAGGGGCCGAAAGAAGAGTTTCAAAAAAAACTGTTCAAGATACTTGCGAACTTTCCGTCTAAACAGGGCGCATTTAATAAAACACTTAATGAAACTGTATTATCCCTTAAACAAGATACTGTAGACAATTCAAATAGAATTTCTTCCTTGAAAGATGATGCAGTAAAACAGTGTGAGTTGTTCAATCATCTAGAAATTGAATTCAAAAAACTCCGAGAAAAAGCCGATACTTTCCATCGTGACTTGAATTTTCAAGAACTATTAGCGCTTCAAAACACTCTTGAAATACAAGGAGTGCCAATAAAAGATAATATAAATCTTTCTACTATTTGTTGCGACATATTCAAAGTGTTAAATTTAACCCTGACGGTTAATGATATTTCCAACGTCTATCGTTTGCAGAGAAAGAATGCTCCTAATAACCCAGCTCTTCTTCCAATAAGTATTTTAAAGTTATCAAGACAAATGCTACGTCATACGATTATCAATAGTCACAAAATTAAATCCGACGTTACCATAGTTTACATTGGTTGGCCTACAAGTGAAAAACGCGTTATCTATATTCGTAAACCACTTACTCCAATGAATTGTCGAATTTATTCCATGACTTTCGAATTGAGAAAAAACAATAAAGTAAAACACCTTTAGATTGCGGGTGGAAAAATTTTCTACAAACGGGAGGAAGGATCACTTCGATTGCAATTATTTAATTTAGACGATGTTGAAAAGTTCAAATAACAGTGAAAGAAGAGGAACATACTTAAACTGTAACTTATTTACTTCGATTAACTGGTATGCAGTATTACTTTGATTAAAATAAAATTAGAATATTTTTTTTTTTTTATTATTATTATTTTTTTTCCTTTCTCTTACTTGTATGCGACGTTAAAAAGCAAGACTAGCAAGTGTTTATTATTGTAATTTAGAGTTTTTTTTATTTAATCTCGTTAATAAAGTTATTCTTTGTAATAAATATTACTTTTTATTACCTTTTAAATTCAAAAAAGAAAAAATCAAAATTACTATTTTGATCTGCCATGAAATCTCACTCTTTATGGATACTTATCTTCGCTTTCTCAAATCTATTTTGCAATAATACGAAAAGTTGATGTTATCACAAGTTTGTAATCTCGGAGTCTGGTTTAATACAAATAAAAAAAATGAAATAAAAAAAAGCTTAACAAAAATTGATTGTTTTCTATGTTTAAATAATAGATAGTTTATCTACATGCCACGTTAATGTGCAGTTGTTACCTGCTCATTTTATTCAATTCAAAAATTTCTTTATAAATCATCATTAATAGAACTACATACGTACAACAATTAGCTAAATCAAGTACCAAGAACTCATATTGCGTCAATGTCTTAAAATGCAGTTCGTTGGTAAAATAAAAGACTAAGTTTGTATATGGAAAACTGAAGGTTGCAACACCTTGTTTCACAACCATAACAAAAGCTAAGCCTACTTTATTAAGTAAAGTTTAATGGCCTCAAATAATTTCTATAATGCAGCAGAGATTGACAAATGTATTGAGAAATATATTTCCTCATACGAATTTTCAACTTATCAAAATACCCTTCCAACCGTCCTCAATGTTTTGTATTAAAACCGATGTACGCCTTGTACAACTGCTTCTTTGCCATTGTAAATCCGGTACAAGGTCTATCGTGATGTCGCCCGTCGGCGAGATTCGACCGTTCCAAAAGTTCTCTAAAAACAAGTGTGATCGGGCAGACGTTAAAGGCATGATATTCAATCGTAAAAATCTCACGAATCCAGTACAAATTAAGGAAACAACCACGTAAGTAACGATTGTATGGTTCTTTTTTATAAATCTCATTTTTAAAGAAAAACGAACTACGACAAACTTGAAAGCATAATGTTTTGTTTTGGTTTAAGCCTATCCCTGGTCTTATTTCTAAAAGAATCTCTGAAAATTTAATTTTTATGTAATAAACAGAAGTAAATTTATAGACATGTGAGAAATGATAATGATATTCTATCGATCCAGGAAACGATCCCATAAATTAAAAACTTCATAAATATAAGATTTGATTTTCTTTGCATTTATTTTGGTTTTTATGACAGAAGAGAAGGAATTAATAATAACATTTTTTTCAGCTTATTCTTTAAAAGTTACAGTTTTTGAATAAACCTAACGATACTTTGTGGTTAAAGTACTCACCCATAGAGCTAAACTATGTGCAAGTTACAGCCCGATTTAACAATCTTTTTCTTCACTCACGTTACAGAAATTTTATTTCAAATTTTGTTCTAAGAATCTCAATTTTTAACATCTAAATTAATCTAAATTCAAAAAACGTTTAAAAATTAAACTTATTTTAATAATTTGAAATGTTTAATATTGTTTAAAATTACCTTCTAAGTATTTCATTTTCAACATCCACAATAATGGGATTATTATCTATAAAATGTGAATGGGGTAACTGCTTCAGTTCATTGAATGTCCTAGGTCCACATGACTGATTTAAAATTCGCTTCTTTTGTAAATTTTTCACTTCCATTCTAGTTTTATCTCTCTGATAATATACACCAGCAAAGATTAGTACATTGAGAATGAGTAAACTGCAACCAATTGCTATTGTTACACTTAATGCTGTAGAGTATGCTGCATATCTGTAAAAATAAAAGAAAGAATTTAATTATCGGAAAATTAATTAATTATCTCAGATTTTTAAATTTTTGTCCGCCATACTGGATCCGTTATTTTGAATTTTTAAAAACTGAAATCTGGATTAGAGGCATTCTCTGAAAAAAGCCACTTAAAATTTTTTTTTAAAACGATATATATTTTAGTATATGTAAAAACTAAAATAAAAAACATAATTTCAGGTCCATGTAATGCGGGCTTGCCATACTGGCAGAGGTCAAACTTTTTGAAAAATAATTTTCAAACCGCTATTAACCTTTTAACCCCTTATGCCCCCTTCGATTTTTTCAAAACTACCTCAAAATGTTCCTTTATTATCACCTTTTTACCCCCCTAAGGGAATTTCGGGACAGCAATATTTGTATGAGTTATACATTAAAAACCATCTCATCGTAACGCTAACTATCTAAGCAAATGCTTCGCTTACCTAAAATATGTAAAAAGAAAAAGAAGGATACCTAGTGGTATTTTGGGTAGTCAAATTCCATACACGACAGCATTTGCTCAGATTGAGAGCGTTGTGCTGAGCTGGTTTTTAATTTATAACTCATACAAATATTGCTATCCCTAAATTCCCTTTTGGGGGTAAAAAGGTGATGAAATAAGAAACATTTTGAGGTAGTTTTTTAAAAAAATCGAAGAGGGCATAAGGGGTTAAAAATTGAAAAACAAATTTTTTCTATGAAAGTTTTTTTTTTAATTTTTGCGGTACATAGTTTAAAAGTTTAGGAAATTCTGCAAAAAAACTGTGTTTTAAAATTCATTCATTTTAAAGTTATAGCGGTTTGAAAATTATTTTTTAAAAAGTTTGACCCCTGCCAGTATGGCAAGCCCGCATTACACGGACCTGAAACATATATCATAGAAAAAAAAATTTTTAACTGGCTTTTTTCAGTGAAAGATGAATCCTTTTGCATTTAACACACATATAATAAATCTCTCGCGGAAACTCCATTTAAAAACTCTGATAATTACTGAAAACAGAGCCGTAACTAGGTCTTTTTACACCCGGTGCGACATGGGCATTTGGCGCCCCCTTCTGGTTCCCGAAAATATAGAAGTTCAAATAATCCTTTGTGATTATTAGCAATTAAAAGTAAACTAAATTCTTATTGTGGAAATTTGTACATGAAAACTGGGTTTTTTAAAAAAACACAATGCGTAGTATATTATGTTTCGTTTATTGTTTCTTAATTTTTCATTATAATGTCATACTTTCAATCTACAATAATTAAGTACTTTTTCAATAAAATTTGGATTTAGCAACATTTAGAATAAACAAATTTGTACTTTGATGAAAATTTAATGTAAATTCTTTGGTAAAAAGTGTAATCAACATTATAAATTTCTAGATAACAAATGTAAATTAAACAAGATGAGCTAGTGCGCAGTAAAATAGATGAAGAATTTATTTAAACGTTAACTTTTCTAGCTTTTAAAGACGCAAACTCATCAACAATACTATCATAGTTAAGTTTTTTTGAAATTGCATTTTCTATAGACAAAATTCCCAAATTTGTCAATCTTTGCTGTCCAATTGACGATCTTAAATATGATTTTATTAACTTAAGTTTGCTGAAGCTTCGTTCACATGAAGCTGTAGTAACTGGTAACCTCAAAAAAATTCTTAAAGCTATGTCAACGTTTGGACAAGTTTCGATTAAAAAAAAATCGTGAATTGCTTGAAGTAAGTCAAGTGAAGTTTTAGATTCACTCTCGGAGATGAATGAATCTATTTGAAATTTGACTGTTTCCAATTCACTGACAAATTCCTCTGGATTTAGATCACCTTTATATTTATCAGCCAAATCTTTGGCTTGTTTTTTTAACGTTTCCATTTCAGTTCGTTTTAAACCGTAAATTGACAAGAAACTGAAATTCTTAGAAAGAGTATTTAATTTTTCGAATCTCCATTGAAAATGATTTACCAATGTATCTAATACTTCAAACATTGCAAGTTTGAAATTTTGCTTTGGTGTTATGTCGTAGTTTTCATCAACACTTTCACCCATGTCTCTTCTTCGAACCCTTCTTCTTCTTTTTTCAGGAAAATCGTTTTTAACTCCTATTTCTTCAGCTGCACTAGCGGATGCTTCAAAAACTTCTTCAAAATCTTGGTTTCGAATGTTTTGGACCTGTTTTGTCAATCCTTCAATCATTTTGGCTGCTATATCCACTGTAAAGTCCTTAGTTTGTAAAGTTACACTTACTCTGACGATAGCCGTTAGAATTTAGTTCCAAACATCTAATATGCACAAAAATTTGAAATCTATATTAATGAGTAAAATTTTCGCAGTTGCAACTGTGTCAGCGTTATATTGATCAGATGTTAAAGTGTTTAAAGCATTGACAACAAGTGGAATTTGTGTTTTTAAAGCTTTTACTGCTCTTGCTTTAGAAGACCATCTAGTGTCCGACTCACATTTTAAAGATATATTTATATTTTTCATCAGAACTTCCCAACCAATTGTTGATCCAGAGAAAAAGGTAAATAATCCAAAAAAAGGTAAACAATACCAAAAAACGTAATCATATCTGATGAAACACTAGCAGCATGTACTCCCGAAAGATTAATATTATGTGCTGTGCACGGAAGAAAATCAGCATATTCATTGATTTCAAAGATTCAAGCTCGGACACCCTTATATTTTCCACACATGTTGGCTCCATTGTCATAACATTGACTTCGAAGATTTTTAATATCAATTCCATCTGTTTTTAATTTTTCTCAAATTTCATTTGCTAATCCTTCGCCAGTTTTTTCGTGAGAATCAATAAAATCAATGAAACGTTCTTCTATTGTGACCTTTCCATTCAAAATTTTGACGTATCTTACAATTTGAGACATCTGTTCTTGATGTCAACAATCTGTTGTGCAATCAACAAGAAGAGAAAAATATTTAGCTTTCTTCAATTCGTTAAGAATTACATTTCGAACATTACTTCCCATCAAGTCTATGATTTTGATTTGAACCAATAGAGAAAAATAAGCTACTTTGCCTTTGCTGTGAGATTCTATATGCAATTTTAATTTTGGATCGTAAATCGCTATCAAATTAACAAGGTTTAAAAATATTCCTGAATCTCGTTCATTAATCTTTTCATTACTTCCTCTCAAGGCTAAGTTATTTTCGGCGCAGAAAAGAATAACACTGATATTTACTTTTAAAATATGGCGCCATTTTTCTTTTTCTTTATCTATCATAACTTGTAGAGACTCGTCAATGCATGATTTTGACCTTAAATTTTTTTCTAATGTTCTCCATTTAATAAAATTATCCTTGTGAAATAACGAGTTCTCGTGATCAGGAATTCTTGGACTTAAATGACGCCAATCGTCAAATCCTTTTTCCGGATTTGCAAGAGATGAAACATTGGGATTTGTTAACAGTACAGTAGAAAACAGAACGCAGCAGAAGCAAAATAACGCATTTCTTTCTTCACTATAAATTAACCAGGTCCTGTCCAAAACCTGACCATTAAATAATTTTCATGTGAACCATTCACAAGAAAATTTTCTACTATCTTTAGTTTGAAAGAGAGAAAAATTGATATCTTTTCCTTGATCGGGACCGCGTTCTACGAGAAAAGTACGGATTAAGGGGGGAACACCAGTTGTAACTTTCGAAATATCGATTTTTTTTTTGGTGCATTTTCTTAAAGTATACATATTTAGAAATGTGTCTGTAAATTTCAAAGTTGATCCGGTGAAAAATAAATGAGATATACAGAACACTGCAGCGGCGCGTCCCGTGGCTTCATACAAGGTGGCCAGCCATACCTGACCCTAACGACAGATGGCCTTTTCCTATGATTTAGAAACGGCAACCACTGCGGAAGAGTTATTATATGGTCCAGGAATCGATGACTCTTTGTAACTTAGAAACAAAATTTCTTCTGAACAAAAAAAAGTAAGTTGAAACTTTTAATGCGTTTTTCTCAAAATGACATTTTCCAAGTCGGTGACCACGATTACTCGAATACCATTAAACCGATTTATTTAAAATTTAGTGTGCTTCATTTACACATATAAGTCTAGTTCGTGATCGAAGGATTTTTTTTTTTAATCAAAACTTTTTTTTATATAGCTGAAAATCGACCGTATTTTTTTAACGAAAATCATACTTTTGACTTTGACAGGTCGCCATTTTGTCAAATTTTTTTTTTTTTTTAAATCCTTCGATCACGAACTAGATAATCTTATAATAAATGTAAATCAATTTCATTTTTGTATTTCAGACGAAGTATACTTGCAGAATGCTGGTCACCGCAATTCGCCTTTTTTCTTAAGACGCCACTTCAATGGCTCATATCTCCAAAAGTTTTTGTTAAAAAAATTTTTTTTTTCTTTTAAATTACAGCTTTTTACATGTACTTTTAACTAATAAATAGTATTCTTTAAAAAGATTCATTGTTCTTTTGGAAAATATTCTTGAAAAAAGCATTATTTTTTGAGTTACAACTGGTGTTCCCCCCTTAAGTCTGTTATTGGAAGCCACGTTTTTGGATCATTTCGATTAAGCGAAAGTAGATTTTTCTCTGAATGTAAATTCGAAGGCTCTTGCATTTCTTCAGTTTCTTTTTGTAAAGTAGAAGTATCCTTATCCAACACTGATTCTACTATTTCATTGTCAAAATGTGATGTAGACGGTTCTTCAATTATTTTGTTTTCTTCTTCGACCATATCGACATCGTTGAGTTCATTATTAGATTGAGATTGTACATCAGTTATTGAGCCTGTGTTTGCCCAGTTAAATAAAGCTTCTGACATTTTCTTATTATCATTTTCTCTAATCTTTCTCTTTTTTCGAAATTCGGCACCAGAGAGCTTTGGAGGAGACATTGTAGAAAGCTGTCCTAAGCAAACAAATATAAGTTATTCATTTATTATCGAATTAATGTGACAAAAAATTTATTAAAGAATTAATCAAATTATTGACAAATAAGAAATCACAATATTATTTTA